ATAGAATAATAGCATAAATTTTTTAAAACAATGGTGTGGTTTCTTTTCCTGTAATAGCATTATAAACATAAATTAACTAATGTAAATAAATATTAGAAGCTCAAAGAGCCCTTCTATCCTGTGAATTTATTATTGATAACCTAACAGCACTAGTATCATGTTATATCAAAGAATAAATGAGGCATACTAATGATTGTCAGTGCACACGTCTTACATCAGAGTAATGTGAAGTAATTTAGCTTGATTCTTAGGTCATATACTAGGTTCAGTGTTGTTTGTCAGGAGTGACAAAATCCTTTTGTCTAAGTGTTTAATTTCCTCTCTTGTGGACTAGATTAACACAACCCCCTGTACTAAGGCTGTCGTAGGAAGAAAGTGGGCTCATGTTTATCTAATGACTATACCGTAAATCAGGCATTCAATAAAAAATTACAAGACACACAGAAAAGTATAAACAAGGTCTGAAGATTTAAAAAAAACAATAATCAGAATAAGAGTCAGTTGTTACACAGATGTTGAAACTCTTGAGCAGGGGATTTAAAATAACTTTGATTATTATACTAAATATTCTGATGATAAAGATAGACAAGATTCAAGATCACATAGATAAATTCAGCACAGAGAAGGAAACTGCAACAAAGAATAACTAGAAATGCTATAAAAAATTTACTGACAGAGAAAAAGAATTCATTTGACTGGCAAATCGATAGACTTGACACAACCTAGGAAAGGATTCGAGACCCTGAGGATATGTCGTAGATCTAACATTTGTAATCCTAGGAGAAAAAAGAGCAAAGCAGAAAATGTTTAAAGAAATAGTGGTCAAAAACTTTCCAAAAATATGGACAGAAACCAAAAGCATAGATAGAAGACACTCTGAGAACACTAGGAATAAATTATACACACACACACACACACACACACACACACACACACAGCATATTCTATTGAAACTGCTGGGAACTAAAGACAAACAAAAAATCTTGAAGTCAGCAACAGAAAAAAAAAGACTGATTATCTACAGAAAAATAAGGATAAGAATTACAGTAAATTTTTTGTCAGAAATCGTGCAAGAAAGAGGAAAATAATAAAATCTTAAACGTAATGAAATACTACTGTCAACACATAATTCTAGGTCCAGGAAATATATTCCTCAAAAGTGAAGGAGAAACATTTTCTCAGACAAAAATGGAGGGAGTAAACCAGTAAGAAAAAAAAATGATTTGAACAACACTATCAACCAATTTGATCTAACTGACTTTCATAGATCACTCTACTGAACTACAATAGAATACCCATTCTTCTCAAAATCACACGGAACACATGCCAAGATAGACCATATTTAGGCCCATAAAACACACCTGAACACATTTTTAAACATAGAAATAATAAGTGTTTTGTCAGTCCAATGTAATTAAGCTAGACATCAATAACAGAAATATATCTTAAAAATTACAAAATATAAGGAAATTAAGCATCATACTTTTAGATGACCTATAAGTCAAAGAGGATGTCTCAAGGAAATTAGAAAATATTATTATTTTTGCTGTTACAACATCCAGTCAAGATGATGTTTCCTGAAGTGTCCTAGCTCTCTCCTTTACTCCTACCCTCATTGGTGAGGCTATGCCATATATTTATATATACTGTTGGATTCATTTGTCACAGGCTGTATTCCATCTTAGGTTTCTGCAACATCTTGGTTTACTTCTATTTTTAAATTGCAATTAGCAGTATTCACTCTTAAAGCTTAAGCCTTCTACGTGTTTTGGCAAATGTATGTAGTCATATATTCACCACTACTTTATCATATGTAAGGGTTCCATCATGCTAACATTTTCCATGTATTGACCCTCTGTAGTAAAAAACAAACAAACAAATGAAAAACTAACAACGTCTTTCCTTTCCATCAACTCTAGCAACCACTTAGTAGGTTTTCATTCCCATATTTTGCCTTTTTTTCTATTTTCCCCTTATATTCATTCCTTTCTTTGTTTTTTTCTTTTTTTCCCTTCCCTCCCTTCCTTATTTTTTTCTTGTTTTCTTCTTTTAGTCATTTAAACGATAGTTAGTGAGTACTGTTATAGACAAGGAAATACATGAGAAATGCAATCCAGCAGATAAAAAGTATTAGGTTGGTGCAAAAGTAATTGCAGTTTTTGCCATTAAAAGTAATCATATAGTGACATCATTAATATAAAGCATTTGTAATGTAAAGCTCCAAAGGCACTATGGTTTTGTAAATGAAGAAGTTGAAAACCTGTGTTTAAACTTAATTGATCCCTTATTTGAGAATGAAATACTAAAAAATAAGTATTGTTAAACTCATTATTTTGTGATTAACATGATAGGAAATCAGTAGATTATGTTTGACAGTTGAAAAAAGAACAGATGATAAGCATATGAGTAACTTCTTTTGTTAGACACAATCTCTCAGTCCGCAAATGGTAAGTGATTTTAGAAGACCGATGAACCAGAACATGTCCTGCTATTTGTAGTCAGGGAAATAGGGTGCCTTTTCATCCGTGACGGACTGCTATGCTCTTGAAAATGTCAAGGAATTTAATTTACAAGAGAAACATTCTGCAAAGATATGTTACTAAATATGTTGCCATAAGTATGCAACTCATTGGCAAATTTTTATAACGTGTTTTTGTTTTAATATTTTCCTAATCTCCTTCAATTACAGGTAAAATCTTTAGTCATCTTTCTATACCAATGTGATAAACTTGAATCTGAAGAGTCTTTGGCAAATTGTGAATGTTTGTGTTCTAACGGCAAAAAGGAGCTGTAATAAATGCTATGTTCTAGTTTAATTTATGAAAATAAACTATTAGGCCTAAAATATATGGAATAACTTGAGAATTCATCTGAATATCAGATAATGTTTTGAGTACTGGATATTCAAAGTGGAAACAATGCTCACATTTGTTAAAAATAATAATGTGATAATAAAATAATATTCTATTTAATAATATAATAATAATAGTTACATTGATAATATAATAGGAAATTTAATAGTAATGTTAATTGAGACAAATATGTAAATTACACTGCACGTAGCTGCTTATTCAATTATAGGCATTAAAATCATCACTATTACTTTTGCTACAATGAACATTATCAAAAAGGATGAATCACAGAGGAACTTCTAAAAAATGTCAAGAGAGCCATTAGCTTTGAACTAAAAGGTGGTCATATATCCTTTAAAACTTGAGTGAATTAAAGTTATGTTCAGATTTAGATAAAATTATTGATGTGTCCTACTAAGAAGTGGATAGTGTTTATGCTCAATGGACTCAGTGTTGTCTATGAAGTAGAAAGGAAAATTGTTTTCTGGTAAGATAAGTTTGAAGTTTAGGGAGAGTTGAAGGCAGTTAACACTAATGTCAACAAGAAAAAGAGTTTGATAAGATGTCTTTGGTTACCAACACAGTTTAAAAAACATAAACTTACTTTAAAATTCATCTGTTTTGTGGAATGGCAGTAGAAATCAAATTCAGAGTTTTGTGTGGTTGCGTGTTTTTCCGGTAGGGTTGGCTAAGTGTAGGGGGGGCAGAAAAATTACATGACCTATCAAGATAATATTTAACATAATCAAGCATGAAGTCTGGGCTGTGTAAGAAAGGAAGTGAGACCAATGGAGAGTAGAAACAATGAAATGTAATCAGGATTTTAGTGGATGGGAATGAAGTGAATGGATTCTATGAAGACAAAGAAAAATTCTCTTAACTTCTACTTATATCACCTTTTCAAAATATATGTCATATGTCAACTTCTGAAAATCCCTTAAATGTTCAGTTGAATAAGAAAGGAAGTAATGCTAAGAGGAATTGGATAGAAAGGAATACAATGGGAATTATAAAGGATTGACGTATTCTACGGGGTCAAAGATAAAGCCTTCAAAATTTAAAGTTTTTCACTCATCAATGACATATATCATATAATGTTACTCCCCAATGGAAACTCCTGTAATGTATTCCCATTACAACCAAATGCTTAACAAATAACTTTCATCCCTATCCCCTCCTTCCTGATCTGCTTTCCTTATAGCTTTCCCCATCCTTCCATCTTCTCAGGATGTGTTGACTCTCTTGGAGCCCAAGTATGCCTCAGAGCCCATGTTTGCACCCATGTGTTTGCTTTTGCTCTTTCTTCATTTGGTGACACCATTAATGAGGAGTCTTGAGCGGTTTATAGTCTTAGCGGCTGACTCCATACTTTAGTCTGACAAGGTGGACAGAGAGGAGGACTGAGGGCTCTGGTGAAGGTTTGAGGTTAAAATTGTGGCAAATAATAAGCATGAATAAATCAGAAAGATGGTAGAATGATAGCTAAATAGTTCTGTGAGCCAAGCCGTGGTGGGAGAACATAAAACTTGTAGTGTTCTATGTTATTGGTTATGATAAATAAAACTGAAGCGTCCAGAAAGTGTATATAAAGCATTTTGGTGGCAGACAAGCTAGTTTAAAGTTAAGTTAAATAACTGCTTATATTAGCATCAATAGCCTCGGTGGTCAATATGAACAATAAAAATGCTGATTATACACCAATGAATCACTTGAAATTTTATTTTGAGGGGAAAAGAAATGTGTTTTTGTAACTCAGAAACAGTGGTAAAAACATCTTAAGTAGTCATCAACCTAATGAAACCACAATGCAAACCCAACATATTCAACATGAACTCATGGGAAGGGTGCACTCAATTCAGGAAATACTCTGCAGTCTTCTTTGACTCAGTATTCCTGTTTTCACAATAAGCCTGTTCAAACATGCTGGTAGTATGAAGTAATATGGTAGAGAACTGTGAAAGGTAGATTTTCCAGGCAAACCTAAAAAGAAAAAAGTTTAAAAAAAAAAAAAAAAGCAATACTGGACTTATATATTACAGAAGATAGTTTTTGTTTATGTATACACACACACTTGTCCATCTTAGTCTGACAGAATGTTATTTATAACTATTACGAGTTAACATTTTCTCATGCTTAAGATAATTCATGGCACATAATATGATTTTTAATAACTATCTGTGTTTCTGCTTGATAGAGTCAATACAGTCTATGAGGTAGAAGGAGAAATTGTTTCCTGGTGAGATAAAGTTAAACAGTTTAATGAATAAGAGTTATTAGCAAGCTTATTCGATCTAGCATGCAAAAATAGCATTGTTATTTATTAATGGTACATATGTATATTTTCAACCAATTTTAAAGGAACATTTTAATCTTATTTTCTAAGTCGCTTATTAGGCATATAAGATATTACTGCTTCCTATAATTTAAGCCTTTTGATCTAATTGGAAAGTAGATTTTGGTAAAATAAAGTTTTATGTACAATGACTTTGGGGTCATATTTCAATAAATCATTTTAAAATTAAATTCTTCAAATTACACTGTACATTTTTTGGCTTCTCTGTTTCTTTTGTAATTTTTCTATCAATTCAATACCTTCTGCCTCTATTTCATCTCTGATTCATCACTTGAACTTGTTGTATTATTTTATCCTATCTCTAATTAGCAGTTAGCACATTGTATTGTCATTTCTGTGTCTTTGTCAAAAAGGGCTTTAATGAAGGTAAATTTGGTATCATAATTCTGTATCTCTCAGGTCTCTCACATCATGGGACATATGATAAGCTTTTTAAAAAATGTAGAATAAGGCCGGGCGCTGTGGCTTATGCCTGTAATCCCAACACTTTGGAGGCCAAGACGGGTGGAACACCTGAGGTCAGGAGTTCAAAACCAGCCTAGCCAACAGGTTGAAACCCTGTCTATACCGGAAAAAAAAAAACAAACAAAACAAAACAAAACAAAAAAACAACTAGCAGGGCATGGTGGCGGGCGCCTGTAATCTGAGCTATTTTGGATGCTGATACAGGAGAATTGCTTGAACCCGGGAGGCGGAGTTGTAGTGAGCTGAGATCACGCCATTTCACTCCAGCCTGGGTGACAAGAGTGAAACTCCGTCTCGGGAAAAAAAAAAAAAGTGGAATAAGTATGTGAATAATGACAGTAAGAAATATTACTATTTATAAAACACAACTGTATTTTTAACTCTTATCCAGAACAATTATGGTATTATTTTTGTACACATGAGATTACTTTGTGAAGCTGCCTGACACTTTTTCATTATCAAGAAGGCCAAAATAACATAATAAAGAAAATCAAGTTTGTACAATGTACTCAAAGTCAGAAAATATCCTCTCAAAAAAACCTTAACGTGGCCTTTTGGGTGCAGTTCGGCATTGGTAGTAGAGCATTTGAGTCCTAGGGCTGGAAATCTGTATTCGATTTTTTTGGGCTTTTTTATTTTCTCAGGATTATCATGAACAATTTATTTAACCTCCATTCCGCTTCAGGTTCTTCATCTCAAATCAATTGATACTTTGATTATGGCCATTCTTTCAGGAATAAGGTGGCATTGCATTGTGATTTGGATTTGCATTTCCTTGATCATTAGTGACGTTGAGCATTTTTTCATGTTTGTTGGTCATTTGTTTATCTTCTTTCTAGAACTGTCTAGTCATGTCCTTAGCCCACTTTTTGATGGGATTGTCTGTTTTGTTCTTACTGGTTTGATTTCGTTGTAGGTTCTGGATGTTAGTCTTTTGTTGGATATATAGATTTGAAGATTTTCTCCCACTCTGTGGGTTGTCTGTTTACTCTGCTGACTGTTCCTTTTGCTGTGCAAAAGCTCCTTAGTTTAATTAGGTCCCAGCTACTTATCTTTGTTTTTATTGCATTTGCTTTTGGGTTTTTGGTCATGAAATCCTTGCCTAAGCCAATGTCTAGAAGGGTTTTTTTCCAATTTTCCAGAATTTTTATAGTTTCAGGTCTTTGGTTTAAGTCCTTAATCCATCTTGAGTTGATTCTTGTGTAACGTGAGAGATGAGGATCAAATTTCATTCTCTTACATGTGGCCAGCCAATTATACCAGCACCATTTGTTGAAAAGCGTGGCCTTTCCCCACTTTATGTTTTTATTTGCTAATCAAACAATCAAAAACAGTAGATATTGGCATAGATGTGGTGATCAGGAAACACTTATACACCGCTGGTGGGAATGTAAACCACTACAGCCACTATGGAAAACAGTGTGGCGATTCCTTCAAGAACTAAAAGTAGAGCTACCATTTGATCCAGCAATCCCACTACAGGGTATCTATCCAGAGGAAAAGAAGTCATTATAAGAAAAAGATACTTGCATATGCATGTTTATAGCAGCACAGTTCACAATTGCAAAACCATGGAACCAACCCAAACGCCCATCAATCAATGAGTGGATAAAGAAATTGTGGTATGTATATACGATGGAATACTACTCAACCACAAAAAAGGAATGAATTAACTGCATTTTCTAGGACGTGGATGAGATTGGAGACTATTATTCTCTGTGAAGTAAGTTGGAAACGGAAAACCAAACATCATATGTTCTCACTGATATGTGGAAGCTCATCTATGAGGATGCAAAGCCCTAAGAATGATACAACGGACTGTGGGGACTTGAGGGGAAGAGTGAGGTGGGGGGGATAAAAGACAACAAATACAGTGCAGTGTATACTGCTCGACTGATGCGTGCACCAGGATCTCACAAATCACCACTAAAGAACTTACTCATGCAACCAAATACCACCTGTACCCCAATAACTTATGGAAAAAAAATCAGCTGATAGTATTAACTACTTGATAGGTTTTTTGTGAACATTAAATTAGTCAATATAGGCAAGGGCTTAGAATTGTAACTGGTGCACTATATGACCTCGATAAATTATTATTATATTATTATTTATTGTTTTGAAACCTACTTTGTCATGTTAGAAATTTGTGTTCAGGACACATAAAAAGAACAAAGCATTTAAATTAAATGAGACAGAATTCTAGGATAGGAGATAAATCTGAATGCTGCAAGAGCAAAATAAGAAAAATAAAACATGACTACACAAAAGGCATTATAATTTTCTTGAGTTGCCATCATGGCTCTAAATCCATTGAATAAATTCTCAAAGAGAGAAATTTAAAAAATAAGCAAAGATTTTTGTATAAAACATTAATATTTCCAGAGAAAATGATGCAGGAAATTTGTCTTAAATGGCTTGAATTGTGTATGAAACTCTCTTGATATTGCATATCTTTTCTCAAACCAAAGTGCCAGGTCTGAATTTCTTGGCACAACTCAAAGATGACAGGAAATCATCTGCGTGAATACTATGCCTGTGACAATTTTTACTCAGAGCCATTGCTTCTGGCTGAATGTATCATTAGCTATGGAGGAAATGTACTATAATTTATATTTAAAATATTTATGAAATATGCATGCAAATTACCCAGACAACTTACATTTGTGAGTCAAAAAGATGAAAGCAAAATTTAAGACTTTATAAACCAAAATATGATTTAATTAAAGTTGAAAGTATATTACTTAATAATGTTATTTAATATCACTTTCTTCACATAAAAGTTATTACTTAAATTCTAGGCCTAAAGGCACTTACCAAAGTAAAGTAGAAGCAGTGAATTCAAGAATCTTAAAAATCCCTCTTTGAAGAGAAAAGACAAAAAATTGAAGAATTTTATTTTAAAAAAATGTACAGGAACAAATCTCCATCTCATATGCAAATCATAGGTACTAAATTCTGATTTTTCTCAAATTATATGGAAGACACTTTTAAATGCTACATGCATATCTAAAAAACTAAATCGTATTTAAAAATATCCAGAGAAATAATGTGACTTGCCTAAGTTCAAAAGCCTATTTATATTAGGTCTCCTGATTCCAAAACCCATGTTGTTTATAATACACTTTAGTTCTCTGGGTTCAATGTTCTGTTCTCTCTTTCATTCTTCATGTTAGAAGAAATGTTTCCTAGGTCAAATGTCTTTTTTTTTTTGAAAAAAAAAAAAAATAAGATAAAGGATAAACGTTAACTAGCACTTGGTCCAGCTACTTTTTACAATTTCAGATACTTTTGTAACATTATTTTTATTTATTAGGCTGTATTTGCATTATGACTTATTATTTGATTTCTAGCTTAGACATTTCTATTTGTTTCAGCTTCTACTTGAGTTTATTGGGATTATGTCAATTTCATCCCCCCAGCTTACTTTTAGCACAAAAGATAACAATTTTTAAGTTGCAAATAAAAAGAGAGCACTCACCAGAGTGGGGATAACTTGGTAAGCATTTGTCTTCATGTTTTTCCATGGTTCCATAATTTTGCGATATTGATATTTTACATATTGGGGCAAGGCAAACTGATAATATTGGTTGATTTTTTTCTAGAAAAAATATATAAATAATTATCTCGATGTCCCATGAATCAGACAGACCTGAACCTAACCAAATGAATCAAAACTTTATTTGGATAAATTCTACATTTTACCAAATGAATCTAATTAAAGGAAAATTGATTCATACAGAATTAACTCTATGCTTACATTTATAGAATTAACTGTAGAAGTAAGAAAATTCTTTGCTTAATTCAGACCCCAAAGCCACAGTGCTTGAGTGAAAGAAATCAAAAACAAGGAAGAATAAAATTAAAAATACATGTAAAAAGGCAAGAAGATAATTTCTTGACCAAGATAAGTGTCCCCAGTTGTGGTTTATTTTCTATTTCTGGTAGGAAAACCCTGGTCCTCAGAGTCATATAGAATGTGTGATTTAACTTAGCGGAACCGATGACACTGAGTCAGTTAATCTCTCTGAGTATTATTTGTCTTGTAGAAGTAAAAGAATTAATACGGAAAGAGTACTTTGTTTGCATAATGCCTGACATATATTTTATTATGAGTACATATTTCCCTCTTCTATGTTCTATTTATCTATATAGATTTAGCCACAGATTGTTGTAGGGATTTAAGTTGAAATTAAATACAGTGGCATCTTCTTTTAGGCTAAGTTCTCATTTTTACAAAGTGGAAAATCAATGGAATTTTAGAATTGCCATGGAATAATTGTTGGGTGGATACTTAGCAATAATGTAAGTGGTACAGTTGGCGAGTGCTTCTGTAACCATTTTTAAAAGTATAAGAAGACTTTTATAAAAATTAGAACTTGGTAAACATAGTTTTTTTTTTTTTTTTTGGTCAAGAGGATTGCGACTTGGCAGTTTCCAAGTAAAATCTAATCGTGCTATGATTGTATGGAAAATTTACCAGATGTTTTTGGTAATTCTTTGCTTCTTCAGTCAGCTCAGTTTTCTGCTAATAACAAAAATAATTGGTCATAAAATACAAAAGAAAATGTTTTGAGATTATATTTTATTCATTTTGTTTAAATAAAACTAACTTACCTCGGTGAATACTTCAGTTGATTCCTTAGGGAAAGAAAATGAATAAATAACCTCACTTGGATAACCCAATAGTAATTTTTGTCTGTATCATAATAATATAGAATTAGGGCTAATTATTTCAATAATTCAGGGTCAAGCTATTACTACCAAGAAACACAGTCCTACTTTATAGAAATCTGTTCTGAATTAAATGAATGTAAGTATACATTAAAAGGACATGTCCTGTGTCAACATAATGGTACCTGACTGAAAATACATTTTATTTCATATTTTCCATTTACCTTCATTGTTCATATAATGTCAAATTTCCATGTAATATGGGCAGATGCAAAAGAGAGAGAGAGACAGAGAGAGAGAGAAAGAGAGAGAGGAAAAATAATTAAGCCTACTGAGGTGTGTGGCAAAATCTGGTTCTTTCTTGGAGGACCAATGTTTTTTAGATTAGTGTCCATAGGCCCACAGTTTGAGGTAGAGAGAAAGGGTATAAAGCATGTTTCCCAAGGCACTAAGAAGGAAGATCTTGCTTGCTTTGGGCCCCAGGCCACAAGATCCTGTGCCACAATTCATACTTCATCTTCTTAAGACCCTTTCCAACTGTCCTCTCCCACTTGGCGCTTTCTCTCACCGCGGGTATTCCCTGAACCTATGATTTACATAACTTGTAACCCAGTCCAGTATTCAACTCCTAAACGATATTAAACTATAGTGAAGGTAACTGACAGAATCCTGATTTGACTATCTTATTTTAAAAATTCATTTTTTCTAATGTAACAGAGGTCAGACATACATTATCTGAAAGTGTGTGATAGAACAGCTACTCTTGACCATGTAGATGGTTCATTCCAGACCTCTAACATGACTTTGAGTCTGTGTATGTTTTACAAGGGTTTTCCTTTGTTTCCATTCGATATGTGAATAGCATAACACCTAATTTACTTAAAATAATCAGTCAACAGCAAGAAACAGAGTATTTCTCAATGAACTGGTTAATTGTTTGATTTTTAAATTATCATTTTCCTCCCTAGAGATAACCTACTAGAACATTATTTGAGAAATAAAAAGTATAATAATCAAAATTTTAGAATCAGGGCAATTAAATACTTAGCAGTATATTCTTAATATTTGTGGACAAAAGATCTTTTTTATATTACAGCAAAGGTATTATTATGACAGGTGAAAAAGACTAAGAGCAATAAAATTCTCAGTTCAAAAAATGGTAGAAATCTGTTTTTAAAAAAAGAAAGCAGCAGCAAAAAACATAGAATACTTAGGCTATGTGGAGAGGTCTTGCTAACATGGAAGGTCTTGACTGAAAAAAATTTAGGTCAATTGAGAAAATCACAGTTAAGGAGTAAAGAGGATTTTTACATAAACTAAAATATCACTCAATTTTATTAAAAGAGGAGAATTTCAGGAGTATTAATATTTTAATGTTTAGTTTTTAGAAATATGAATCAAATACAGCTTCATATAGAAACAATACTTTACCTTATTAACAGTCTTTTTTGGTGTTTCCTTAAAGGAATAAAACAAGAATTAGACACATTGTTCTCAGTGTATTGATTATACATAATTTCTACTTGGAGGTATGGAGAAAAACTACTCTTTTGTAAAGAAGAATAATAAAAATAAATTTATTTGTAATGCTTCTTTTAATCACTTTTTTAATCTCTAAGATCTGGAAACATGTAAGGGACATGGTATTTGCTAAATACAATATTTCTTAAATACATAATAATTGAATGAATGAATTTTTCGTAAGAGTAATTTAGGAAGCACATACTTTTAGGCAACTCATTTAAATAATTTTGATAATTGCATGTTTATTTAAAACAGATATATAATCAAACTTATAAGTTAAGTATATATAACATTTCTTTTATTTTTATTTGTATTTTTTAAATTTTTGAGACAGAGTCTCTCTCTTGTCGCCTAGGCTGGAGTGCAATCATACTCTCTTGGCTCACTTCTACCTCCACCTCCTGGGTTCAAGTGATTCTCCTGCTTCAGCCTCCCTAGTAGTTTGGATTACAGGCACCCACCACCATACCTGGCTAATTTTTGTACTTTTTTAGTAGAGATGGGGTTTCACCACATTGGCCAGGCTAGTCTCAAACTCCTGACCTCAGGTGATCCACCCGCCTTGCCTCCCAAAGTGTGTGAGCCACCGTGCCCGGCCTAACATTTCTTCTTATTAGCAATAACAAGTTTTGAAAAAGCATAATTTCAGGAAAAAATATTATATAAATAATAGCTTGGATAGAGAACAGGTAAGGGGAAAAAAATTGGCAAGTTTAAAAGTTTACAAGAATGAAAACTTACAGGAAAGCAAAAAACTAATTTAGAAGATTCCCTTCCCAGAGAGGATCTGGATTTGGAGAAGCAATGCCCTTTGGAGGATCATTAGCAACAAATCTGGACGCTGATCTCTCTTTTCCTCCCCTCCTTCGTGAAATTCCCTCTTTGCCCAAGGCTAGGGCGATGGCTGTCTCAGATGCCTGCTGCTGCTTTGCTGACCACAGGCAAGATTTCTTTTTAGGGCCTGACCCCCTCCTTGCTTCTTACCTCAGATCTAGAAGAGTGTTGCATCAGAAATGCCAACCACTCGGTCAAAAAGCTACTGTAAATTAATTTTAGTTCACCTCAAAGAAAAATAGTTTGAAAATACCTACCAAAACTAAAAATAAATATACTAAACCTAAACAACTCAAATGCCTTCTAATTACAGGGCACTAGAGGACTGAATTGTGGAATATCATCAGCAGTGTAAATAGGTAGATTATACCTGCAAGTGACAATATGGATGAATGTACTAGAAATCTATTGAGGGAAAAATGCAACACCAAGGAGGCTACATAAAGTATGATACTCTTTGTAAATCTCAAAAACAAACCAAACTACACACAGAGAGAAACTACTTTTAAATTCAGGGTATGTATGCTTTTCAAAAGAAATGAAGCCCAATCTAAACGCTAATAAGTGTTACTTGAAGGAGATTTTCAACAGGAAATAAGGCCCTTAGGATCTTTCTGATATCATCTTGTCATATTCAGAGTCTCATGTTGACTATGAGAACTTACTGTGTGGTAAAAGCAATTTATTACTTAATATATTAACTTTATTAAAGTAATGTTATTGTCTAAAATGAATATTCTAAAGAGAAATAAACACAAGCAAAACAAAATCGTGTTTAGCTCATATATGTATGAAATAAAACTGTTATAAAATATAGAACTATAAGTATTAATTATAATACTCATAATTTATAGTGACATATGTGTTACTTATTTGTGGTATTAAAGTTTGTGACAAAAATATTACACAAATTTCATGTACATATCCTCTAACCCCAAAATTTCACTTTCAGGAATGTATCATATTAATGTATTCGTATATGTATAAAATAAATTATCATAAGAATATTATTTTTCTAATTAAAAAATAGAAACACCATTTATCATTAGGAAACTAATGAAGATGTATCAATGAAGATGTACACAGTGGAATTAACTGAAAAAATTTTAACAAAGAATGAAAACTACTAACTGATTAGGCTTCCATTTCTCGTGGGAACTGACAAATTTAGTTTGGTTAGTTGATTCATGCAAGTTTAAACCTCCTTTACTTGATTATTCATAAAATTATGACAAAAGTAGTTATTTGTTTTCATTATCACCGGTTTCCTATGTTTTCAGTTTTTCGGTGATCATCAATATTATAACATAAGGGAAAAATCAGCTTAAATATGTATTCAAAGAATGATATATAAATAAACTTATGCATATAGATGCATATACTCTCACATGCACATCATCTGCTATGCCTCCATATTACTGGCAAAAGTGTAAAATATCTTAATTCTGATAGTGAGGATATGTCTCAGTAAGTGTTTTTAAATTTTTGTGCGTTCAAACATCCCTATAAAACTTAGATAAATTCAATAATTCTTCCTTTAAGAAAAATGCAGATATTTACAATACAGTGAAATTTTCCTATTTCCTATTTATAAAACTCTCCATTAGTCTCAAATTAAGATCTACTACTTTCCCTTAGAAGTTATAGGCTAATATGAAAATGGAAACTAGGTTTCCTATATCAATGGAATAAAAAGGAAGGGAGGTAGAGCAAGATGATGTCAAGTTTGGTGTCTGTTCATTGGTATAGGAAGACTGTCCCAGGTCTTTTAACCAATTAATTCTGCAGGGCTTCCCTATATAAATAGCAGAATCTTTATGCCAAACTAAAACTGTCATGTTTTTATATACAGAATATTTTAAATTTATATTCTAACAATGAAATAATAATCTATATTAGCAATGACAAATTTAAGTTAATATAGTAAATAAATTTAAAGAATACAGAAAATCTTGTTATTTATTATATGAGTTGATAGTATATACTGTTTCCAAATATGCTTGACTATTGTTTTTTCTCAAATACACTGTCATTAAATTGTTTCATCTTTTAGGTTTTAGAATGAGGGGCTTTATATTCTTAGAAAGAAATAAAAAAAAAATGTATCTACTGATTCAAGAGGAATACAGTGCCAGTCTAGCATTTGATGACAAACTTGCAACCAATTGGTGATAGAAAGGTGATGGAAAACTAACAAGAAATCTTTTCAAGAATATCTAACTTTGACAATGTGGTTCACAAATGTCACACACGTATATTTTCTTGGGACCCTCTTGACATCCATTCATTACCTCTTCCATACTTAGATATTTAAAATGATACATATAAAGAATAAGATTGGTAAAACATAATGTACATACATCTAAGATATATCTCATCGATGAACCAGTAAATATATAAACACATTTTACCTGACTGGTATGTATAACTACTTCATTTTTCTCCTTATATTTCAACAAAATAAATAACATATTGTTATAAATGAAAAGCAAGTCATAATAGATAAATAAAAAGTAATTCTTTAAATATATTTAATATAAGAGGTTTGTACTTACTTTCTGAGAGATGCTGGCAGATTCCTTAAAAAAATACAAATAGTATGTTTAATTACTTATAAAATTGTTATTTTTCCCTTTCTTTGGACTTTTAATTATTCCTGGTGATGAAATAAGGGAAATCAAACTAGGCTTTTTATTGGGTGACTGTATTTATTGGTCCTGTAACAAGACAAAAAAGCTTTAATTTTATGATCTAATCAAAAGGCTGAGAAGAACTTGGGTTACTTATTCCTCATATAGAAAAAGCTCCTTAAGACAAATCCACTTTATGAAACAAAATGGAAATGGTTGCTCAGAGTTTGAGCAAGTACTTCCTTACATTTACCCATATTACATTTCCTTTGTTAAATGAAGATACTGGTTTCTATCCTCCCCCCCTACATTAAAGAATTGTTTGAAGGACCAAGTGAAATGATATATGAGCAAATACTTAGGGCATATATGTTAGATTTAAATTAAATTAGTACTTATTTGTCACTATTGCTACTATTGTTATTTGTTATTATATTTGGACTGTCTTACTTTTTTTTTTTTTTTTCTTTTTTTTTTGGTGAGACAGAGATTTACTCTTATTGCCCAGGCTGGAGTGCAATGGTTCGATCTTGGCTCACCACATCCTCCGCCTCCCAGTTTCAAGAGATTCTCCTGCCTCAGCTTCTCAAGTAGCTGGGATTACAGGCATGTGTCACCACCCTAGGCTAATTTTGTATTTTTAGTAGAGACGGGGTTTTACCAAATTGCCCAGGCTGATCTGGAACTCCTGACCTCAGGTGATTTGCCCGCCTCAGCCTCCAAAAGTACTGGGATTACAGGCATGAGCCACTGCACCCAGACAAGACTGTCCTACTTTTAAAGTTAACTTTTGGGTGCATTTTGCCTCTAGTTACTGTACTTTTTTTTGAGAGGGAGTCTCACTCTGTTGCCAGGCTGGAGTGCAGTGGCGGATCTTGGATCACTGCAACATCCTACTCCCTGGTGCAGGTGATTCTCCTGCCTTAGCCTTCCAAGTAGCTGGGATTACAGGCACGCACCACCACCCCCAGTTAATCTTTATATTTTTAGTAGAGACAGGGTTTCACCATGTTGGCCAGGATGATCTCGAACTCCTGACCTCAGGTGATCCTCCTGCCTCAGCCTCCTAAAGTGCTAGGATTACAGGCCTGAGCCACCGTACCTGGCCACTGCATATATTTTTATTCTGTACCTCTTGCCCCTTAAAAATGCAAAACTTACTAGAGTGGGAACAAAGGGGTAGACGCTTGTCTTACGCTGATCCCCTGGGTTCATAACAATATGATGTTGATAAGGAACCTGAAGAAATGGGAGGAAGTTCCACTTCTGATAAAATGGGCTGATTTTGTTCTGGAGAGAAAGGAAATTATGAATATTTATTCCACTATTTTATATCCTTATTGAGTCAAAGCAAATGTTAGCAAAACTGAGCGAATTAGAACTTTAATTAGAAAATTTATAAGTTGTGACAAATTTACTTAGGAAAAGTAATAGTTTAGATACATAAAGTTTACCTTAACTGTGTCTACATTTATAGTAAATTGCAGAATTGAAAAATTATCAAATTAAGTAAGACCACGGGAGAAAATTACCTATGTAGGGAAAAGAAGTATGTTTAAGAAAGGAAATAAAAAAATCACACACACACACACAATCACAAGGTGCGCGTCTCAACTTAATCCTTTTCCATGTGTGTTGGAAGTTAGTCTGGTCTTTGGAGTCAGAACTGAACTTTAATTCTCTTTACTCAGGGCACTGGAATCCACGACCCTGATCAAATTGCTTAAACTATCTGAGCATTATTTACCATGTAGGATTATATCTGTTAAAATACAACGAGAAGTTTGCCTAGTAACTAAGTATTCTAGTAAGTTCCAGAGCCTTTGAACTGACTTTACAAAGATTGTTTTTAGGAATTAAATATAAAACCACAATAGCATTTTTTCCTCAGGAGAATTTTCTTTTAATAGAGAGTGAAAAATAAGTGTGTGTAGAAAGTCAACGGGTCTTTAGAATTGTTGGATGGTTACATTAAGAGAGGTACAAAATGAGAATGCTACTGGAATTATTTTGACAAAATGTAGGAAAGATATTTATAGCAACAAAGAAGTTAGTAACGATGTAAATTCCTAAAAACACAGGTTTTATTTGGAGCATTCTATTTTTAAGTGTTCAAAAACAGATGTTTCTATTATAAAGGTTTTAGAAAGCATGCCTGTTCTGTGTTGAGATAGGATAATAATTGTCAATTTTTTATATGAATTTACTGTGTTCCAAGCAATTTTTGTATACATTAAATATATGTCATCTAATACAATCTTGCGGGGTTAATGCAGCTCTCCGTATTTTCAGTTAAGGAAACTGGAGCTTGGAGGGGTTAAGTAACAACTCGTGGAGCTGGAGTTGGAATACAAGTTGCCTGATACCAAAATCTATGCGCTTTCCCTACACACGCAGCAAACTTCTCTAGTCCGCAGAGGACGGATTACATCAGGAGTCCCCAAGCTTTTTGACATCAAGGACCGCTTTTGTGGAAGATAATTTTTTCCACGGATGGGGCAGGGGTATGGTTTGGGGATAAAACTGTTGTACCTCAGATCATCAGGCATTAGAAAGATTCTCATAAGGAGCACACGACCTAGATCCCTTGCATGCGCAGTTCACAACAGGGTTCACTCTCCTGAGAATCTAAGGCCAGAGCAGATCTGACAGGCTAATGTTAGCTTGCCTGCAGCTCACTTCCTGCTGTGCTGCGGGTGGTTCCTAACAGGCCAAGGACCAGTACTGGTACCCTCTGTGGTTTGGGGACTCCTTGATTATATGACCTCCTGTAGCTTGAGAATGTTTACACTTCAGATATTGGGGATTTCTTTCTTTCTCTCTCTCTCTCTCTCTTTCTTGACGGAATCTCGCTAGTTCGCAAGGATAGAGTGCAGTGGCATGATCTTGGCGCACTGCAAACTCCGCCTCCCGGGTTCAAGCGATTCTCCTGCCTCAGCCCCCTGAATAGCTGGGATTACAGGCGCCCCCCACCACGCCCAGCTAATTTTTGTATTTTTAGTAGAGACGGGTTTTCACCATGTTGGCCAGGATGGTCTCGATTTCTTGACCTCGTGATCTGCCTGCCTCGGCCTCCCAAAGTGCTGGGATTACAGGCGTGAGCCACCTAGCCAGCCCTAACATTTCTTAATGGGATAGAATGAATTGTGTGAATATTTGAGAGAAGAAACAGCCAAAATAAGATGTTTTACTTGAAATTATAATTTATATGAGAAATTTACCAGTTGTTTTACATAGTGCTTTTGGTCCACAGTGTGCTTAATTTCCTGGTAAGAAAAAAAAAAAATTCTCTAAAAATACACAAAAAGAAAATCCTACTAAGTGGTATTAATTTTATTTTATTTGAATGAAAATTACCCCTGTGAAAACTTCTGCAGATTCCTTTTAGGGGAAGAAAAGAAGAATTAACATTACTTTCATGATTAAGCTTTGGAGTCATGCTAGAATATTAGGGGTAATTAATTAAATACTCAGAGCCCAAGCCACTACTACTTAAAAATTATGTCATTTATTAGGAATTTAATACATTAATTAAAAATTAAAACATTTATCATCAGAGTCATCACTATCAAAATAGCACATGAATAAAAATGTTTTATTTTAAATTTTTATGAATTTTTTATTATTCATACAATATCAAATGCCTACAGAAGGTGACAAGGGACACAAAATATTATGACACAGGCCTGGTGAGGTATGTGGCAAACCAAGTCCCACATACCCTTTCTGGAGGACACGAATGTTATCTTTAAGTGACTGTCAACTGTCCATTTGAAGGTGATACTTACAGCTTGGAAGAAGAGTAAAGTATGTTTCCTAGTCCCTGACTAGGAAGAGTGCAGGCTGCACCTAAGGCCACAAGGTTTGTGGTGCCACCATGCTTCTTCCTTTCCCAGTTACTTTTTCCCATCACGTTTATTGTTTGGGTATTTCTACCATGGCAGGTGTATCTTGTACCATTGATGTACGCAACTTCTAATCTAATCCTTTATTCGGCCTCTTATTTTTAAACAAAAGAATCTCAAATTTTAAAGTGCACCAGAATATAATGTTGATGCTGCTAGCTGAGGGGCAACACTTTCAGAACCTCTGCTCTAAGAGATATTGAGAGGTTTCAGTATAAAACTATGTTGAAGGCAAATGGCAGCCTCTTGATTTAACCCTGGCTTCCTTTAAAATTCAATTTCCTCTGAAATCAGATGTCTGATACACACTGTCAAAGAGCACAAAACAGGAAACCAATGTTCAGATAGTCAGTTTCAATCTCCCTTAAATACCATTGAGTTTGGGTTAAAATTTGATGAACAATCTAATTGCTAAAAATCTGTCACATCTTGGTGAACCTGCTTTTTGATGTTAAAAGAAAATATCTCTTACCTCACTGGAAGAGCTGCTAGAAGGTTGCTTGAGAAATAATATTAATAATCAAAGTTTAGTGACCAGAAGAAATCCCCAGCATTATTTCTTTAATTATACCGGTTGTTTTAGATAGACCTCAAATTACCTATGTAATCATTAGTATGGTAGATTGAAAGTATTGGAATAAAAACAATACATTAGGTTTCTCAACTGTTCATCATTGATTACCTTTGGAAAATAAATAAGAGATAAAAATCACCTTATTATTGAATGGAAATGTCTCAAGAGAATATAGCACAATTTACGTGAGTACTATTAAGGTGGGAAGGGAGAAATTGTTATTTTAAATAAATTCATACATCTCTTTTTAGTTTACTGAGAGAGGAAATTTACAGATATTTCCACATGCCATTGATATTGTAATATTACATGTTAAAAATGTGAACAAAAATTTTTCAAGAAAATAAACATTTCTCACCATTTCATTCATGTTTCTTGTGGTTTCCTTAAATACAGAAGAAAAATAATTAGACTTATTTTCTCCACAGCTTTGTTTATAAAGTATTTTCTCCAGAACAGAAAGGGAAAATTTTCTTTCCCATAAGGAGAATCATAACAATAGAGTCACTTTTATTATATAAGTTTTGTATAGATTATATTAGAATTTCCCATTTAGTAATAAATATACAAGCAGTGGTAAACTGGAATGTGAGAACAATGAGAGGAGGATTTTGCCTGCTGTATTCAGAGTATGCCTCAAGTCTAAGATAGTCTTCTCTAATACATGTTTGTCTAATAAATGAATAAACACACTATTATAATAATTTAGGCATTGCATTGATAAACTTCATTTTACTCATCATGATTTATTAGAAAAAATATATCTCCAGGCCAACTACTATGTTTTTGGTAATGCATATATAACATTTCTGTTATGAAAATATTGATTTAAATTTAAATGAGTCAATTTTAAGAAAAAAATTGCATATCAATCTAAATAGGAGATTAATTTTTTAAGAACAATAATGAAAATTGGGGAATTTTTTGGAATGAAGGCCACTAAGTGACAAGTTCTTCACTCCTCATGAGATCTTAGAATTAAGTATATTAGTTGATTTATGCAAAAAAATATATTTTTCAGCTGAATTATTCACAGAATTTTAAAAAGAGAAGATAACTTTGGTCTCATTCTTTATAAATAGCTTTGGTTTTCAAATATGATTCCTTTGGAAATCCAGGTTAATTTCAATTTGGGTTAAAGTATCACAATATTTTTTCTTTCCTATTTTGCTATAGATGTGCTATCAATATATACCTTACAGGAAGAAGAACAAATGTCCTCCTGAAAAGAAAGGAAAACGAAGAGGGAATATATAATTTGCTGAAATGAGTATAACATAATTTCACATAAATGGATAGCAAAGGAAACACAACATTGTGAGCAAAAGAATGCAGAGAACCATTAAGAATAAATTATTTCAAAGATATCTGTTTTAATAATATAACAACTAAATCTTTTACTAAGACCTTTTTCATATTGCTCCACTGCATTTTGGCAAATCAATGAAAATATCACCATTTTAACAATCATAGCTAAAAGCCTCATTTTTGGTGAGAAAATGACCTATGTTTGATGGAAAAAGAGATGTTATCAAAGATTAATACATTAAAATAATTACATTTTACCTCATTGGGGAAAATGGCCATATTCTTGATCTGCTTACATTTCTACAAACTAAATAAATTTCTTTTATAACCTTCATCAAATAAAAAAGTTAAAATAAATTTAATTTAAGGAGTTAGGACTTACTTCCTGGGAGATGATGACAGATTACTTAGAAAAGGAAAAAACAATAATTACTTGCCTAAATTATATTTGTACTAGCTATAAGGTATCAGTTTACACTCAACATCCAGTGGTAAATAACATATTTATATTTTTCTGAACTATAGGATGAAGTTGACAAAAGTTTTACTCCCCACACAACTAATTTATCATATTTTAAATAACTAACTTATTTTGATATTGTGTTTTGGGTTATTAATAACTGTAACAAAATTTTCCAAAATATGAACCACAAAGATGAAAAGAAGTTTTTCTATTTCTTCTACATAATTTTAAATTTTCTTCTGTTTTTTAAAGGGGTTAAGCACATTGCAGGAAAAAAAAAGAAAACCCTCAGGCAACACTAAAAATGTCTTTTATGCACCCCTGCCCAGAAAAATCACTTGGGAATTAACATTTAATATGGACCCAGATGAATATGATTCCTTATTTCAGAAATGTAGAATGACTTCCTGTCACTCTTCTCCCAAGATGCAGAATTTTCACCATAGTATCTGAGCTAATATCTTTATCATTGGGAACTATTTAAAGGAAAAAATGCACAAATTTAATCTGGATAATTTGAATGTGTAGATTTTTGGTCTTATCACATATAAAGACTTAGTTTAGGACATATCATGTGTTTACTAAGTGGAAGAATTAAAATGTCTTACCTCTCTTGGGGAGTGATGCTCCATATGCTATATAAAAAACAAAAAGATATACAAGTTTCACTTTTATCACTTATTTGAAATGTAAATCTGTCTTTCCATTTTGTTTCTTTTGTTTCTTGGTGGCAAGGGAATTTTAGTCACCTGATTCTAGGAACCTTTAGCTGTATAAAGTTTCTTTGCAAAATTCTCTTGGTTTCCTATAATGTTAATGAACAAATCATTGTATACCTCAAGTGAATTCTTGTCATGGTTTAATATATTTCTTTTAGGAAGTAGGTAGGTTCTTAGTTTTTGAGTATTAACTGTTACACAGTTTGAAATATAATTTTATTCGTAAATGTACCACCAAATCTTAAAGTGTTAAGACTCTGGTGTTATATTTTATTTTACTTCACTTATACTGTTAGAATTAAAAATATTGGGCAAGTGTTTCTGTCAAGTGGCATAAATAGTTGAAGATTAATTTTTAAAATATGAAAAACTGTCGTACAAACTCAATTTTGTACTATGCTCTCAATAGATTGTGACAAAGTTAGCTTTTAATATCTATGGTCTGTCACTTGCTAGTGAAGCCACCATATTAGTTGAACAAAATTGTTTTATTTAAATAAAAGATCAAAGGCAGTTATTGACTAGAGAGAACAGGAACAAAGTCAGAGTAGATCATAAGAACAATCAAGCTTGGTGGGTGTGAGATTGCCAAAGTATTACTATTATTTTTTTATTTACCTAACTAGAATTGTTATCTAGTTTTGCCCATGAATTGGCTCTAAATTTAAGAAATAACAAAAACTTGTCAAGATTTATGTGAGAGATATGAAGACATAGATGAAGCAAAGAACTCTGATCACCCTAAATAAATGGTGTGCTTATGAGGAGT